CGAAAATACAGTTTTATAAAAAAAAAAAAAGAGCGGTATGGCATCAATCAGAGCTGACAAGAAGAATCAGTTTCTCAAAGATGGCTGAACAAAAGAATGTCCATTTTCTTTTTTGGTTGCAGAGGGAGATGTATAGCCTTTCAGTTTTATTGGCACAAACAAAATCCTTCTCAACCCTTCGATTTTCTGTCCTGGGTAATAACCTCCCATATCGACGTGTCTTTTATTGATTGGTTTAATTTTTTTCTAATGCAGAATCCAAGCGACAAAGCAGATAGATTTAACATCTCTTCATCATAGTATTTTTTACCATTTGTCAGCTATTTGAAAAGAGTGGTGGCCTCTACACACGCACTATATATATATATATATATTCATCCCACGAAATATTTAATACAAAAAAAACACTAGACTAATTGAGTCTCTTTTTCCGGGTTTATATATTTAGCCATTTTGTTACCATTTGTCGTAAGAATGAGTGAAAAACCCTTTGAGTTTTTCAGCTAAAAGAAAAGCAGGTTTGAACTGTTATTTGTCAGATCCACTGTGTCTTCCCAGCTGAGCAATGGGGAGAGGAAAAAAAGCCTTTAGTAATGGTAACACCATTCATAATCTGGCTTCCATTTTCAAAGTACATTCAAGAACCACCAAGAGAACGGTGTAGAAGTTTAAAAAAGAGGGAACAGTAGAGAGGAAAACTGGATCAGGAGGTCACAAGAGGACGAAGTGGGGGGGTCAATTGGAAAAGATCCAACAAAATTCCTAAGACGTTTGGCACGTGAGAGAGGAGTTTCAGCTATGACAGTCCAAAGAGGAACGAAAAAAGACTTGAAAATGAAATCGCACATGAAACGCCTGAGGCACCTTGTTTCTCCAAAACAGAAATTTAGAAGGTTAAAGAGAAGGAAGATCATCGGGAATTAGCATCAGCCATGCTGACAGGATGAAGGAAGGGCTCTCTCAAGTGATTATTATTAAATTATTTCTGTTATATGAATCCATCTTTAAAAGCAACAGTTACATTTTTCAGCCGTTCTGTGTATGACTACAATTTCAATTTTCACTAGTAATGTACGGAGATAAAGAAATATATTTCTTTGCAGGAAATAAGTTAATTAAAAAAAATATTCCTCATAGAGAAAGGTAGTTGTTGAGTTGTTGGGAGTGTTCCCGCGTGTGTGTATTCGAATAAAGACAAACACAGTTGTAGGGATAAATACTGGTAGATTTGTAAGAGGTAATTAACAACAGAGAGATTAGTAATAAGGAACGCCGGTTAGTAAGTAACAATAGCAAAAGTCTACAGTCCAACGGTATGTAATGGTAACCTGATCTCGACTGCTGTCGATGAACCTGATCCTTCACACAACACAACTACTCTCTCTAGCACTGACTTATATCGTAGAGGGATCAGTCCATTATCAGTCAGAAGGTGGGTGCGCCCCAACAGTAGTATAATTATTAATCTCTTTTATGCTTTGTGAATTCATCTTTATCTGTAACGAATCCCGTTTGTAATCATTCCGTGTAAGACTATAATTTCGGTTTTTAGTAGTAGTCAGAGATAAAGAAATATAAGTTAATTAAAAAAAGTGTTATTCCTCATAGAGAAAGCTGGTATAATTATTAATCTCTTTCCATTTTTATGCATTCACCTTTAACAGTAACGATTACCGTCTGTAACCATTTTGTGTAAGACTACAATTTCCGTTCTTACTGGTAATGTTTAGGAATAAAGAAATATATTTCTTTGCATTTGCAAATCACATAATTATTTTTTTTTTTTATTTTTCTTTGTCGAAGAATAATGTTGTATAATATTGCTTGTCTTGACAGGCACAAAACTTTTAAATTCTTCATTGCTTATGACCAATGACGCTAATAATCAAACATGAAATATCAAGTCAATAATGACAATTTCGTTGACAGCAAAAACGAACATTTATTTCTTAGAATTTATTTGGACTGATATTGTTATAGAAACAGACATTCATATATGGTACAAACGTCAATTTCTATGCCGGTACAAATAAATGTTTATGTGTTTTAATAATGATGTTCACCCACTATAAGGCCCGAGAGTCACCCAAGGTGAATAGCGATTAGCTCGTTATATGAAAACATTAATTTAAAGAGATTTATAATTAGAAAACTAACTCTAAAATAGAATTATATTGTGACAGCAAATATCTCGAGATTCTTGGTAAAATTCTTGGTAAAATTAAAATGTAACAGATGCTGACCTAACATCTCGACTCATTCATATGGCATGGCGTGTGTTCTCTCTGTCTTTTCTACAAATATTTCCATGGCAACTGTTCTGATCAGCGTTCCTCCTTGGTGCCTCGACGGTATGAATTTAAACGTGCTACTAGATTGGCACTTAGGTCTCTCCTTTCTATTGTTGAACTTGCTAGATGCAAGCATATATTTTTTTCACATAGTTTCTTTTCTCGCTCTTTTCTCCTGTGAAACTCCCTTCCGACTTATTTCTTCCCTT